CACCCCGTTGGACCCGGCATCTGTTGTTTGATTTATGAATGAATAGCACGCTCCCTCCCTGCATGCTGCTCTCAGATCCCCTTCCCTTAAACTACAAAATAGATCCAGACACCCGCATGGCCCTACTGCGCGCCGTGCTCCTGAGAGGTCTGAGGCAGAGTTTGCGATGAATTTTTAATAGAAAACTTCCTATAAGCCTCTGCGCTCGCTTCCTTGCCGTCGAAACGAGTGGCTCTGCTGCTAAATAGCAGCTCAAATGAATTAAAAACTGCAGAGGAGCCTGTAAGGGAAGTAATCCCAGCGAGTAATGATTTAAAGAGCTGCTGACCTCCCTGCGATGTGAACAGTAGCTTTCAAGTATTTGAAAAGAGGCCCATGCAAATCCTGGGTCTTATACTCTATTAACCTCCTCTGGAGCGCAGGGAGGGTGGCGGCAGGATAATCCCCACGTGTCGATGTCTCCCGGTTTGTGGAGGGCCGGAGCAGTGTGAGGTTTGCCCCCTGTTTGAGACTCTGAATCCTGCTGTGCTGAAAAGGCTAATTTAAATGAAAGACAATTCCCGCGAGGGCACGGTGCCGCGGGTCCCCGTAGCTCTGGGCTTTGCTCGCTTGAACACCTCTTCGCAGAAACAGCCGCTGGGTTGCTTTGCTGGGCTCCACACCTCCGGGGGTCAGCAGCCAATTTGGGGGGTGGGGGGAGCCCGGTTTGCCGCTGCCCTGTGTTTTGGGTCTCGCTTTATATTGCGGCACGGCGGCGGCTAACTCCGCACCTACGCAGCGGAGGAGTGCAGGGCTGTGCAACGGGTTACGGGGGTGAGTCTGCATCCCGTCGCCCTGAAGTCAAGAACAAGTCAGGGGGCAGAGGGTGCCAGAGAAGAGTGGCTTTTGGGGAAGGAGCAGGACATGGTCACCTGCGCAGCCGGGAATACCCACCCTCAGCGACTGATTCAGGATAGTTTTGGGAAGCCGTTGTATGTTACCTCGAGGACACCGAGGTGGTGTAATCAGGTGCCCTTTCTAACAGGTTGCTCCCGGTATAAAAAGGGATTAGAGAACTGCGCGGATGGCAGGGCTGTGAGCGGACACTGAACGGATAAAGCAACCAAACCGGGAAGGGCAGGAGACGTAAAGCTGGAAACGAGCATCGTGCTGCAGGGAGGCAGCTCTGTCCTGCTGGGACCGAGCCCGAAATCACCCGATGGGGGTTTGCAGGACGGGATGGGCAGCCACGGCGGGGCTCTACCTGCCCGTGCGGGGACACCCGCCCTGCACGGCTCCGGGGCTGCAGCTCCGGGGGCGGGGGTGACCGGCTAACGCCTCCGGGCCTGCGCAGGGAGGCAGCTGGGGCAAAGGCGGGGTAGTCCG